TTGAAGTGCTGTATTGTTGTACGATATTGTCAGCGATGTTTCTGTTTTAGGTTTTACATCGATCTGTCCTGGCTGTTTAGTACATGTGTTGGTCTGATGTTATTTCTTATCGAAATTGGTGTAATATTTTTTGTGAAATTTCAAGCTGTCAATTATGTTACCGCAGCCTATATTACCACTGCAATGCTCGGTAAGTAATTCCATTTTCACTTTCTTTTTGGTGAAATCTTATGTATATTGAAAACCACTGAAATGAGAAAATATTTTACCATTGTGTGAAACTAATTCAGAAAAAGGGATAAACCAAGGTTTTAATTTCCCCTCTCTCTTTGTTATTGCGCATCATTTGCTCGAATGTAGTGCATTCCTTGCTCCTTGCACCTCTTTAACCTTCTTAATTCATTCCTTAATACAGTTGTTTTAATATATTTTGTTTCCACTGCTGGGAAAAGGGAGGACTTCTTTTTACTGCACTCTACCTTCTTTCCATGGGGTTGAATGTTTATGTCACTGATTGATATGTTGGTTTTGTAACAAGCATTCGAGAAATCCCAAATTTGTTATAAGTTTTGTATACTTTAATGTTTTTTCCTTAAATTAGTACATTCTTCTGAAATGTAGCGTTTTTCAGTGCCTGTTGTTATAATATTCACGATATTTTCGTGCCTTATACATAAGAATCGTTTCATCCACTCAATGGATCGTGTCGGAACAAAAGTGAACGATTTGCAAAGGTTCTTGAACGAGAATGACCCAACGGTTGTTACAAATATTCCAAATGTGGTTTCGTCTATGCAAAAACATCTCGGCACTGGCCTCCAAGGCGTCCAAACCGTACAACCTTGATTGATTATCCCAAAATTTGTAAATTTTCTTGTATATTTGGTGAATTTTTTGCCCCGAGGAAGTGTAGATTTTTTCCCAACTTCTTCGAATCCCACCAGCTTGGTTCGTCTAAAAGTTGGCAGCAATGCGACCCACTTGACTTTGAACTTTTTGGCATTGCTACTGTGCGAGAATCTTTCTCCTACATGGTGCCACTCGCTGGGCTTTAAACTTATTATTTTCGTATATTCGCAATGTTTTTATTATTTTCAAAATTGCATTTACATGTAACTTGGTGGATGTAGTGGGATTTGCTTGACTGTCGTTTTGTGCTGAGGGATAAACTGAGATTTTTTCGTTTAAAGTTGTTATTTCTTCTGTCTCAGGACCTGAGAGCTAAAAATCGCTGATTAAATTGCTCATAGCTATTTGGAATTTCTTTTTTACTGAATTATTGGTTGCCCGAGTGTAAAATTTTGTGAAGTTTTTTCTAGTATTTGTATCCATTTGTCGCTACTTGTAGCAAATGCTGTGGTTGGGTGAAGACTTGCCGTTCGTGTTTCTTTGTATCGGTGCGCTTTTTCTAAAACATTATGTGCAGCATTTATTGTTAATATGATATTTTGAAAACTGGTACTATTTTTTTCATTATTTTTATATTTTCTTACATTGTTACTCATTTTGAACAGTCTTCTGGATGGATTGTTTTCTCAAAAATTGTTTACAGGTAAATGAATTGTACCTCTTTTTTGCACAGTATCAGTTTATTCCTGATTTTGGCGGAAAGAACACTGTAAGGAAGAATGCTTGAAAAATCTCTTCGTGACTGGTCATAAAAAAATGATGTTTCTTTTTTTTTCAAAACAAAGTTTTCACCAAATTTGACTGGGTTGAAAAGAGTATTGCAAAGATAGCAGTGATGTACAGCGCCATTTTCAGTATTTTTACACTCCTTTCGACCGCATGTAACAGATAAGCAACCACGTTAACACATTTTGTAATCGGCCTAAAACATTCGCATATGGCTGTTGATTTGCAGACTCGTTCATGCATAAAACATGTAACAGAGCAACAGCAAGATCGCCCGGACAACTGATCTGAGAATCCCGTGTTAGCTACGCTGTTGGGATGTTCGCACACATCGGACGCTGGACGCCCTTGCTCCAGGCTGTTCGGTCTTGGACTGTATACTCCAGTAACAACCCGTCCAAATGTATGTGCGCAGCGTCTCAGGAGATCATTCGAATAGTCATTTGTTTTTATGCAAGCACCACCAGCAAATATACAACACCTACTGATTATTAGCTACTTGAGAAACATACATAAAGATCTTGTCCTAGGGGATGATATCTTGATCAAGTGTGCGAATTTTCGATAGACGTACCTCATTTGCTCATTAAAATTCTGATTATGTCCGTAATCCAAGTTAGTTGGAAAAGGGGGAAGATTTGCAAAAATAGATTTGAATATAATGTGACTTGATAAGGTCTTAATTACAAAGACCAGTAGGAATTACGTATATTTGGCCAAGTAACTGTTTAAGCTTACTCGCTCGACTGCTGGAAACTGCACTAGATTGGCGATTGAAATAGCCTGGAGGCACTGAAATGATATTGCTTAGAAACACAAAGTTGAATGTATTTTTTCAACACTTAGTCTTACGTCCAAAACGAGTGCCTGGAAAAAGTTTATACCTGTGCCGTAATTTTTGAACTTCGTGGCTACATGAGGAAAGTCTTCCTTCCAGAGTGACGGCGGCTGTAAAGTGTATGACCATTAATGACGTGGCCAAAAATTTCATGAGAGCAAATGTTAACATTCTGGCTTCCGTTTAGGTGTTGCTGAAGCTTTGTTTTGTTCTCTAAATCCACTCATAATTTGTTTTGCAATGATTTCAATCACTTTTATGCGCTGATGCTTATTATGGCAATGCAAAAATGCACATTATCAGGAGGTTGCCGGCATGTGTGTGTGTGTGTGTATGTGTACGGAAGCGAGAAGTTTTTTGTACCATAGCATGAACTTTTGGGAAAGACCAGACAAAATATTATTTATCTCCAGTAATACCAAAATTTAATTGATCTGTCTTTGTCTTGTCGAAGATTTTAACATAATTTAAATTTGTTCAAATTGGAAAAATTCTCAGTGAAAAAATTCAACGAAAATATGGATGAGAACAAATGTACCAAAAAAGCGCCAGAAAAAAGCGAGCTTTTTAAAAATACTTTCTGGTTATTAATGATTTTGATTCAACATTGCACCTCATTTCTACTGGACTGTTTTGCTGCATTAATTTCAAAACCTACAGAATCTGATGAATCAAAGTATTCCAGTACTCGAAAGAAAAAGTGAATTTCCTGTTTCCTGTCAAATTGTTCATGTGCTTTAAACTATATTCATCACTGCTAATGAAATAGCCAAGCGTAAAATGTGCTAACAGTTCGCTTGCACAATATGTTCCATGTGTAGTTCTTCAACTGATCGCACGGAATCGCTTTTGTGGACACTTTTACAGTTGCTGAAAGGTGAAAAACATGCTGTAGTGCACAGATTTCATGGAAACCGAAATACAACATTTATTGGTTTTCTGCCTAAATTGCGCCTAACTTGGCAATAAGTGAGCCTCGATAAACAATTTAATGCAGTCTTGGCACTTTTATTTCAGCAGATGAACCGCCAGCCGTGGTGTAAGTAGGAGTTTTGAAAAGCGCTTTTAGTAGACACTGCGCAAAAATGCAAATACTGCCAAGTCACTTTTTGCATCTCTGGTAAATTTCTAGTACCAGTAAATTACTGAATCATTTTCAGCACTCCCAAAAAGGCACACCCAGCATCTGACTGTGGTACGAAAGTGGCAACTCCAACCACGCCGAGAAAACATTGTACGCATTTTGTCTGAGTGAACTTCAACAACTCGGAATCACTGCCAGCAAGTCCAGCAGGAAGTTAGTGCGTCAAAAGTTTGTTCAGTTTTGAGAAGAAAAACAAAATGTGCGTCTTACGATATTGCACAAGGAATAACACGGAATGTGTAAAACAAACTTAGGTTGCGACGCGCCAGGCTTGCTGACGCGAATATGCGTTTTTGTCTTAAACTTGAAACAAGCAAGTCGTTAGCAGTATGAATAGTTACTGCTTAGCATTTAAATTGCGCGGTCATTGCCGTAAATTTTACATGAAAAAAATGAATAATTCCCATTGACCAGCCATTCTTGGAAATGATCAAGCTTTTCTGACTCCCAAATTAGCAATTTTCCAGTCCAAAGAAGTTTCACGTGCCGTACAAAAGTACCAGGTATAATTAGGAACTCAATTTGAAACATCAAGATTGCATGGGGACAGAAAACGTGCTCCCAAAATTTCAGTCTGCTAGCCTGCTCCATTCCTAAGTTAGCACTTTCTCCACCAAAACTTTCACATCTCGGTAAGCGGGACTCAGATGTGCGTGAAAGTTATACCAAGTTTCTGTACAAATGCGTTTTCGCATTTCCATAAATGCGCAAGAATGTACAAAACCATGAAAAAGACAGCCCCTGATTGTTTGGCCCTTTCTCTTTCTTCCTGCCAGATATCTCTTCGCGCCAAAGGATAGGTATCATCGGCTGATTAGCAGCCGTTTCTTCCCGCTAAATGTTTATACCACAATAATCATTTTAATTTTTTTGCTTTTTAGTTGAGCTTTCGCGTTATTTTTTCAAGTTTTAAGCGAGACCCACAATTAATTATATTTCACAATTTTTGACCAAATTCAATTTGTTATCTAAATTCTTTGACTTTTATGATGCAAGCGGTTTTGCCTGTTAATTCAAATGAGGTAGAAAAGCTGTTTACTTTTTTCCTTTTTTCCTTCTCTTCGGTTTCCCTTTTTTCTCATCCCCTCTCCTTTGCAGTCCTCCCATGCCTTTTCCATTTTCATCACTTTGGCAGGGATCACTAGACGGATCCTAGCTTAAGAAAAAATCTTATTACCGTTTTTAATTCGCGACTTCTCCCTGTCTTCCTCAAACCGACACTTCTCATCGCCCATTCTTCCGCTCGTCTACCCTTACTTTCCCTTACTGTTTTCTTTCCCACTATCTTAGACCAATTGGTTTCATTTTAAGCATGCCGATAGAATAACCAGTGTCTTCAATGGACTCAGCAACGAGAGCATAACGTGAGCACGGTGAATTATCATTCTGGATTTTTACAAACTTCAAATTCTTCTCGAATCTCATGGTAGGTTCCATGTTTCCATTGCGCATCACACCTCCCAGTATCAAATAAAGCTCTGTCATATTTGCTTGTTTTGCTTCCAACATTGCGTCTGTAACAACGGCAATGTTTGAATCACATAGCTGTAATTTCATCGCTAACTAGCCGTCATACAGTATCATGTAATGCAGGAATTTGATGGGCTTTGGACAAATTCGGGAGATAACAATTCATGGAGCACAGATGCTCTCTCTAAAGCTCATGGAATCTGTTTTCACATGAATTTTATTTGGCTTTTGAGCTTTTATTATGAGCTTTTGAGCTGAATTGTGAGCTTTTTGTTAATTTTCCTCATATTCAGCTGCTCATTGTTGTAAAAGGGAGTCTTAGCTGTTAGCGGAAGCGGCGGATAAGGGGATTTAGTGAAGTCTAAGGTTTGCCTCTACGGACATTTAAAGTAAAGTGTTACGCCAATGATAAGGGTGCAATGTGTCATGGAAGACGTTTTGTCCAATTTAAGGATTGAGGATTGCGTGAAAGGCTTGGCCGTTTCGAAGGAATCGCTTTGATCATAAAGAATAAACGGCAAAATTCACCAAGCTTTACTACAGGCGGATCTTCAGCACATTTTTCTAAAAAAAAGAATTGCATCCGACTTTATCCCTTACCTTCCTTCTTTGAGTAAGCTGGTTGGACACTTAGTAACATATTAAGCTGTCGCATTAACACATTCCACAACAAATGCGAGAGTCAGTTTAGACTGTTTTTGGAAGCTACATTACTTGTAATCTGTTCCATAAGCCACTGCCATTCTTTTTCGGATTCTACCGCAATGCTATGCCGTCGGCTATAGCGCTTCTCACATAAATCACTATCGAACGTTTCGCTTGTGTTATCATTCATCTGAGAAACTGTTTTTGATAAGATTTTGCTGGAATTTCTTTTTTCGACGTAATGTACAAACAATTTAGATCCCGTTCGTTCTGACGTGAGCTGAAAGAATGTTGCTTTTGATGTTGCACTATTTTTCAAAAGAGAAAAATTCTTTGAATGTTAGTTTTCTATTTGAAAAAAAGATGAAATTATATATTAATTCGACTAAAGAATCTCATAAAAGTGATTTATGTATGAAACTGAAGTGAAAATATATTTTGACTAGGAATGTTGGGTACTAAATGAAAGAGACAAAACCAATTACTGCCTGAATTTGAGTGCCGAGTTATTCAAGTGCACACCTTAAACAGCGGTATCCACTGATAGCAGTAATCCTCAAACTGCAGTGGTTCATCTATCATGCAACCTAAAAACCCTTGCAATCTAAAAAACATAAAATTCACTCTGAAAATTCCCAGCAAAATCCTGTTACAAAAACCTTCTCAAGAAAAATGTTCTGCCTTCAAAAGTTATAGCAGAAATAATCACCTAAACCGGACCACCAAAAGGGCTCCCCCCTATCCTTATAGTATGGGCCACTAGTTGCAGGCGCGACATCACTCAGTAGAATATTTATGTACAAAACCATCCTTCCAAACATTTCCCGAAGCAAAACAATAAAGAAGCAACTTAAAATCCGAGCTTTTATAAGATCCATAATTTGCAAAATTCACTTCAATGTCAAAAGACGCTAATTTACGCAATTTTGCATACTTATGCAAGTGCGAAAACTCGTATTATTATGCGTTTTTGCATATATGTAAATTGCAAAAACGCATATTGGGAAGAGGCTGTGTGTGT